ATGTATATATATATCTCTCTATATATCTATATATATATATAGATATATCTCATACATATAAACCACTCTGTATACACACAGAGAGAGAAATAAATGCATATGTATCAATAAAAAGGATCTTTCTAAAAGTCAAAAACACTGTTTGGGAAAGACCTGGTGTGCCTTTTCATGAAGCTTCCACAACATCTGCTTCAGAGGAACAATTAAAAACTATTCCTCAAAGCATATAATGACAGTTTTCCCCAGATTCGCACTGGCATTATCACTGTGCCACAATCCTCAGTTCCTTCAGCCTGGAAATAAGAAAGCTGGGAGCCCTTCTGAATCCTGTTTCTAACCTCTTTCAACCCACAATGGCCTCTAGGAACACATTAAAAGAGAAACAGATTGCTCTGTCTATCCATTATGGGAAGTAAGCAAACATACTTTCAAGAATAAAACAGCACACAAACAACAAATCAGTATTGGAAAAATCAAAGAGCAGCCAAAGCAGATTCTCAATTTAAGGAAGCTATGAAAGCTTTTTCTTAAGTTCTTGATCTGTTGGATAGAAATAATTGAGCCTTCCTCCTTCAAACTGAAAAGCCTCATCATTCCACAAAAATTTTGAGACATCCACAGTCTCAAAACTCACATCCACAGAAAGCTATATTTTGACAGACATTGATGGCAGGAGCAAAGATGAAATGTTCTTCAAATGCAGACAAAAAAAATATGTCTTTTTATTTTTAAGTTCACAATGTATTTATTTCTTCCCGCTGCCTTCCTAACTTCCTCCCACCAAGCTAAGTTGTGTCATCAGGCAAAACCAAAATATTCACACCAGTTAAGATTTTCAGTTGTGAAAAAATTCTGATACAGTGATAGTCCTTCTGATAAAAATAGAAAGCATGACACTTAAAAGTGAAATATCTATTGAGAAATACAGCTAAAAAATATTCTAAATGCTACAGACCCAAAACACTGGGCAACAAGTAGGGTAACTGGTACAAGTTTGATCCCTTGACAATTATCTGAATTGCACAGCTAAGTTCTGAAAATCTTCTTTTCATACATACATATATATACATGTATATAGCTACTTATAGAGTGTTATTTTTATTTCTGTATCTATCTGTTAATCAAACTTAGAAGCAATGCAAGCCTTTTAAGCAGTTATTAAAATCATGCATTTCTAGGTTTAAACATGCTTAAAACCTGTCATGTATGCACAACTCTGTACTAAAAGGCCTTGTATTCCACAAAAAGAAGAATGAAATAAAAAGAGTTTTAAAAAGGTTTCACATAGTAATATTAAATTAATACACGGTGCATATTCTAAACAAGATTACAATACAAACTAGATAGCTTAATTACCACCTCAAGTGATTACAGACATCCATGAGGGAAAGAGAAAATCCATAGAAGTTTTTTGATTCCCACCTACTGTCCACGTTGCATTAGAACCACGTTAATATAAGCTCTCCTTCAAATATATATGTGTATCCCAAGGAGACTAGAAAGAGTGGACATCCTGTTATAAACTTCAACATGTCCTCCCACATATCCCAAGTGGTAGACTCAGAGCCAGGAGGAGACAAAAAGCCTCCATCCTCACAGCAGCCAATTCCCAAGTGTGTCTGTGCACTAACCCTCGTGCTGCTGAGTAAACTGTGAATGTCTTAAAACCTAAAGGGGCTGGGGCAGGGTGGGAGAAAAATATTCCAGCAGAATTTTGTTCTAGCATCATCCTGACACAAGACAAAATTGCCATGCTGAGCTGAACTAACTGAAAACTTTTTTAAAATTACAAGCATAAATAGTTTAGCTGTCTTTTTGGTGAGTTCAATGGAATGCACACTGAGAATGTTTACTTGAGATTTGATACAATTACATTTGTGTACAGCTTTTACATCTGTTGCTAATGATATCAAATTATTGATTATTCACTTTCTTATATTTATTTAAACATTAACCATACACTCAGCAACTTGATGCTTTTCTTTTTTTTCTTTTTTTTTTTCTTATTTTCCAGAGAACTTTTTATTTTTGCCTGGCTTCGGTTGTAATTACTTTGATCTTCCAGAGAGTATAATTAATTTACTGTTTATTTATTTCTATGAGAAAGGAAAAAAGTTTGACCTAGGAGATCTATATGTGGCAATTTGTAACAGAATCACATAGCTTATGTTTAGGAAATCATGGTTTTGATTAAGAAGCAACCATTTAGTTCCCACTGTTTTATTAAAACAGACATTAGCAGATAATAGGAAACACATTTAACACTGTAGGCTGCATTTAGTTTGCAACGTCAATAATGTTATTTTGAAGCCCCTTCCTATTTTGTATTTACCACAGCTCATGTGAATAGTTTTTTATCTTTACTTTCTAATAACCAGCTCTAGAATTACACAAGGATATGGGTGCTGGTTCCAAAGACACCAAATTATAGTTTTACCCAATCTATCCAGATATAACCCAAAAAACGGACTGCTGCATCATCCATTCACCTTCATGGAAGTCCTTTTTAAAAATTATTATTAAAGGAATATATGATGACTGAAGCATGTCAACTCAAGTCACTGATTTTGCACACTTACTGAGCTGTCCTGCAGGAATATCTGGCTACAGAAAAGAAACAAAACATCATGAAAACAGAGATTATGAGAAATTGAAACCACCAGAAGAATGCAAAAGTCTTCCTGTTTGCAAGGTGTTTAGATTACTGCTCTGAAGTTGCATGACTGTTTATTCTCCATGCACCACTGTACCTGCCACAGACTCTTTGTTTTCTCTCCCACTCATATGGTTGATGAATCAACACTACTTGAACTGCTTTATAGCAGCTTGTGTTTACTTCACACATACCTTAACCTTCCTTTTTCTCCTCCTACTAACACACACATACACTTCCAAACAGCAACGCCTGGCTGTGTCTCTGAATAGCACAGATACAGAGTTATCTCGAAAACTCTTCAGGTTTGGATCCTTGACCTTTTGATTGAGGTTTCATTCTGCTTTTACTGCACTTAACAATTTAACTGTGCACTTACTAAGTAAAAAAAAAAGTAAGAGCATAAAGAATTCAATGCTCTAAGAATGAAAGAAAGTGGAAGACAGCACTGTGCTAGAAACACTCAGAAGCTGTAGTAGCATCTCCGCAGTTAAGAACACTACAGTTAAGGGCTTCCAGTGCCTCTGCAACTGGCACCCTTGCCCAGTTTTGAAGAAAAAAAAAAAAAAAAAGAAAAAAGGGAAAGAAAAGCCCATTTCTGTTCTTCCAGCACAGCAAGTAAAAGTGAATGGTGATGACCTCGAAGTTGTTTGATTCCTTTGACTGTTTTTTAACCAAGAGGATATGTTAAAACACTTGGAATAAATTCTTTTATTAAGAGACACCATTTAGAGAAAAGAAACACTTCTGAGTCACACAATGGCAATTTAGAGAGAAAAGAAACTATCCAGTTTATTTGGCATGAGGGTAACCACACACTAAAATATCCAATCAACATTTTTACTTCTAGTCTAAACCTTTTAGGAGGTGAAAAACAACATCTCCATTTCCTTGCCTGCATTGTTACTCCACTTCTGCCTGAACAAACTTCCTTCTAGACACAAATAATTTTTCCATAGAACATTCCTTTTTTGTTCCCCCTAGTGAAAATCTAATCACTGCACAGCCCAGGCATGAGCATCTTACAGGTATGCTCTGCACAAGCCAGATGTGCAGAGGAAAACCAGATGCCTCAGAACTTGTTCTGATGTTTTATGCAATTTTGTTTCATGTGTTCCTAACTCAAGCAGCAGACTCTTTATGGTATTATTATGCAGATTTCTAGTCTGTCCTAAGGAAACTAAACAAGTAACCCTTCATAGCTCATGCATGCCAGCCTTTTAAGAGAAAAGACAGCAGACTCTTTTTGAAAGATGCTAATCTTCACGCAACTAAAAATACAATGGTTTCTCAAGACGGACATGACATTACCCCATTTCTGCATAATGTTTGTGAATTCTGTTATGATTTTCCTGGCTACTGAAAGCATCACAGACAGAAACAACAACAACAGTCTATGCCTTCTTTCAGACAATGAATCTTCCCTTCAGTGGTGTAACAGAGAGAAAAACTGTGAAAAAACCTATCACAAGATACAGCTAATTTCCAAGGCTGATGGACATTTAGGGAGAGAGGAGCCAGTTGGAATTATGGAAAAGCTTCTGACTATCCTCAAACTCCTGCTCAAAGCACATGAGTGTTTAGAAAAAATCCAGTGCACACCTAAGTCCCTTCCCAAAGGAAAGAAAGAATAAAAGAATGAACTACACATGACAGAAACTTGTCACATCATTTCTTACACTATTAGAAGGTGATCAGACAGTTCAGTGGTGAGAATGGGATGAACTTAGAATAATTTTGCTGCCCAAGCATTTGCTATTAAACAACTAATACAATCTCACTGTAGAAAAAAAACAAACAATGGGCCATTTTTATCTTAACTTCAGTGGGTGCAGCACCTTGTTATTTAGAGGTGTCTCCTAACAATCAGATATTAAATCCTCCACGGGTAATCCAGATTCCACATGATAAAACACGGCAGGAATGCCAGTATACTTTGCGGTATTGAAAACAGAGAACAAGGGCACACGTACCTTAGACAGTCAGTTTTTTAACTTTCAGGAATCACATGCAATTAAGGTAACTTACATCCCAATTTAACTTTTAAATCCTGAGACACTAGAACTTTTTTTTTTTGCCAAAATGTTTTAGCTTAATTCAAAACACAGTTCGTCTTTCAGCACAGCTAAATAGGATATTTTAAGCATGTTTTAAGTGGCCTGTGTTTTCATGCCAGGCTTGTTTGTAAACTATCAGATTTAATTTCAAATGTGCTGTGACTGTGCCCACTTTGTAGACAAATTCACTAACATTATTATAGCTTATTATCACTTTCACTTAAAGCACATAATATCAAACAGTCAGAAGAAGTTCAAGAACTTGGAAAGTAACAAAAAATTCAATTTACCTTTAATCTTCTTGTACTTTTTGTACCATCTTCCAAACTCCTGGCACTTGGTTGCTGACACATTGGCATAGTATGTACTATTTACAATGGATGAAATCATACTCTGGAAGTACAGAAAGAAAAACAAAAAGTGATTTAAAATATCTTCCACAATTAGAAATCTTTTCCAGGGAAAGTGAATGACATGAAAGTGCACAATGATTACCCATTTGTGACTTCAAAACCAAAATAACAGTCTGGTAAGTAAAAAAAAAAAATTGGTTTTATTCTCTATTCTATATTTCAAGCCATAAATAAAATTACAAAATAATAGTTATTATTTTGCATTATGTAAAAATTATGTAAAAATTAGTATGGACCTAGACTGAGACCTGCAGCTCAGGCTGGGGGAGGGAAGTTCTATTTTACTTTGTACTTGTGATATTAGAATATCTAAACTTTAGTTGCATAATAACAGGCAGTGCCATGCTGGGGAACACATGCTCACTGCACCCGGGTGAGAACAAGCGTGATTTAGGAACCAGATCCTAAAGGTAAGATTAGATGCTCCAGCATGCATAATCCCAATAATGCTTTTCAGATGTCTCTGTTCTGCTTCCAAATGCAGCAAGACCACATAGCCAAGAATTGGAGAACATCCGTGCTACTCGCTGCAGAACAACAGTTAGGCAAATAAGTTAAATTAATATAATTTATAGAAACGTGTGATTAGCCCTCATGTGAAAAATCACCCAGAAGAGAAATTAGCAGTGCCATTCAGAGTGAACTACACATATTACAACATAGAGTAGTCAAAACCCACAAAAAAGTTCAACAAAAATGAAGTATCACTTGCCTAACCAGCACTCCTCCCTCCTCTGCAAATTCCCCCAAGCGACTCAGTACAAGCAACTGAAGCAGAGAGATGCAGACCGGTTTTGCAGAACCCAGTATCAATAAAAAGCAGATTTTATATCTGCTTCTGCCCATCAGTGGCAAACAGCCTGATGACTAGTAATTCTTCCTTTCTCTTTTTTCCCTCCCTTCATCCATGCTATAGAGGAGGCATCTTTTTGACAACATTTTGCTCTCCTTCTCCCCCCTCTGAACTCTTCCAGGGTTAAATCATTCCCAGCACAAGTATGCTGCCAGCAAGGAAATGCAGTCTAACACCACTAACACATAGCAGCCAATGGACCTTCCCCAGAAAACACATTTTCCTTATGCCCTCCTTCCTCACGTCAAAGCTCAGAAAAAGCCCTGGCACATTGCATGACCTTACTGCTTGGAGATGAAAGAGCAAGGATGATCTCACAGCTCCAACAAGCTATTTACCATAGGTTCAGCCTCTGGCCCATGGGCTGCTGGAGGCTCCTGTGCAAAATGGGATCTTGGCCATCTCTGGAAAGCTACAAGGCTTACACACTGGCTTACAATTTTAACAGTGCTCTAAAAGCAAAAACATCCCTGCCCTCTTCCAGATTTATCCAGCCTTCTGCCCAATTCAGTGCAATATCACAGGACTCTGGCTCTTCCTAACTCCTGAGTTTTAAGGACTTAAAAATGTAAACAAAACTGAGAGACTATAGATAACTGGATAGTACAGATTACTTTCAGTCTTCAACAGGTAATTTCGCTCTCAGTAAAGAGGCTCTTTCGGCTTTTCACTTTTAACTTTTCCACTCAAAGAGTGCTATGGTGCACTGCAGTAAAGTCTGAAGGCTATGAAGTAAGAGCCTTGTTAAGTAGCAGCTTCAATTTCTAAAACTGAGGCTCAATTTTCTAATTAAAATCAATATTTTGAGACATAAACCTAGCATTGTGGCAGTCAGCAGCAATTCCCTGCCCATAAATCCTCCTTTGCTCTACAGCATTTTAACAAGCAGTAGAATTCTGAAAGCCTGACATGGTGATAGCCTCTGCTGAGGAAGGATTTTGAACAAAGTCGAGCTTCAGATAATGTGGGGTTTTTTAACAACACTTTAGTTAAATTTCCAGTCGCTAAGGAAGGGTGAGGAAATTGTTTAACTCTGTCTACATATCAGTTTGGGGTTTTCTGGTTTTTTTTCTTTCCCTCAAATCCTCTGGTTCTACAAGAAATCAACATTCCTGACATAGTGGGCCTATTAAATATCACAGATTATATTAACCCATTAACCTTTATTTGAGAAGGCAAAGCTTAAACTAAATAGTAAAATCAAACAGTAAATCAACCATTGGTGAAAAATCCCAGAACAGATTCTCTTCAACTACTTGAAAGCGGAGCAGGCAAAAGAACCATAACAACTTTCAAACCACATATCCTCACTATTAAATGCAAAGCAACCCTAGGGGTATTTCTGCTAGGAATCTTGATAAGTCTGCATAAAGGAAATATCCATTTAGAAGAGAATGGCAAAAAACACCACTGACTAATTGTAAATTTCTAAATAATGCACATTATACCTGGGAAAATCCTTAAGGAAGAAACCGATTCTATTAAACAGCAGATACACTAGGTATGTGTGTGGCCATGACAGCCATGTGCAATGAAAACTGCTTAGACCAGGAGCTAAGAAATATCCACACAAAGAAAATCCAGTGCAGTAAGTTCAAGGAGAAAAATACGGGACGTGCTCACATCCCAAGAAAGCTTGCTCCAGCAGAGACAAAATGCATGGTCAGCGCTGAAATGAGTTATATGATACACAGGAAAGACAGAAATCTCTATGAAAAGATGGAAATGCTGAAATAATTGGATTTCTTTCTGCCACACGCACTCCCCCCACAGAACCCTCCTTCCCCCCAGCTTGGTTAACTGGGATTTATTTGTTTGAACAGGAGCTGTATGCTACGGGTAGCTAAACTGCAGACATGTAATACACCTATCAGAAAAAAACAGAACAATTTTAAATCAAAGTGAATGATTACATTTCCCATTAGCAGCAATCAGAATCCCCATCTGGGCTTCATGGAGAGCTTGGGCACCGAGAACCAGAGACGGAGCACCATCGCTGGTGGGAGTGGGGGCTCCCCATGCTGCCCCTCTCCACTTCTGTACCTGAGACACTGTGAACACATTAATAAACAGCAGCATTTACTCTGCAGTTTGACTCCTAAGAGACCACTCTGCAATTTGCTGCTGTCAATAATATATTAACCACAAGGGGGTTGTAATGACATTTCACATTTGGCACGATATTTTTTTAAAACTGATTTGGGAGAAGTAATTGTATTAGAGGCATATTCAGATGATGGTAATAGACAGATCCTATACAACCTTCCATTGTATATTCTGTATTTTGTGAGCCAAACCAAAAGAGACTGAAACTTCTTATGGCAATAATAATAATAATAATAGTAATAATATTAGCTGCATTCTGCAGTCTCAGTTCAAGGGTTAGTCACTACCCAAGGTCACTTAGATCTGTGCTTAAAAGAAAGCAAGCTCAATTTTCTACAGAAGGATCTCCTTTTAGTTTTGTCCGCTAAATAAATAATTGGGCAAGGATTTTTGCTGCTACAGTTCTGCCATCAGTAATTTTGTAAATACCTTTCAGACTGAGGCTATAGAAGGAGTAAATCAACTGCAGCATTTCCACCTGGTAGGTTTTGAAACTGAAGTGGGAGGAAAAGGACCCAGACAACAAATGAATTCTGCATATGAAATGATGCATAGTTTAGTTATATGGGATACTCAGGAAGACTGGGCAGAGACAACCATATGCTGCAATCATCATTAGCTACCAGATTCCACAGATAATTCTATTTCAAGAAATTAAACTTAAACTATGTGAAAAAAAAAACTTTCATATTCAATGCGTATTCAATGGTCTGTGCATATCTGGAGTCAGTTATTCCTTTGGTAAATAAGGCAAGTTACATGGCTTTTCCTTATACAGCCTTTCCATCCCTGTTAGCTCTGCAAATCCCACATGGCTAAGGAAGATGAGGAATGTAATTCCTGTCAATTGCAGAGATCTAAATTCTGCTCTGTGTATCTCACCTCTATACTTTCCCTGGAGTTGTAACCATAACACAGCAAGGCAAATTTGTGGTGAATAAAAGGAATTCTCTTGGTTCATGCAGACTTTGAATCATGAATCACAGGATGAACACAGAGTGTAATGAAAGACAGGCAACCACGGGAGGAAAAACGTTGGATGCAGTTTAGCAAAGCAACAGATTTTTAGCAAGCAGGGATTACTGATGTTTTGACTTTTGAAAGATACAATCAACAGATTAACCTATGATTCTAATACAGGTTTTAGAAGGCAATGTATTTTTCACGCCTAGCAAAGTTACCTGGTCTGGGTGCTGAAGTGTTATTCTGTTTTTTCTGAGAGGCAAGGAGGACTCGGCCATGAAAATTTTATGAATCTCTCATTATGACAATCTGAAGTACAAATAGAGCTCACAACATCTGTAAGAACCTGTGTCTTAGTGTCTTAGACATGACATCACTGCTGATTATAAAGCAGTCATGGAGAATGAGACTGAGTTTTTGTTCTTTTTTTAACATAATTACATATACATTTTTTTGTTGCTGTTTCCTAGAAATTGGGGCACAACTGTTAAAACTGCATACTTTTTGTCGTGGTTGGAGGCTGATGAGAGCTACCTATGGGTTAGTGGGGAAGGCAAGCCTCTGCTAGTGGGAAGAAGCCACTCAAATCTTGCACTTGAGGATCATTAGCCCTATTACAAAAGGTTCAGATAAAAATCTAAATAAAGAATTTACATCTCTCTGAAAACCAACCAATTCATTCACGATTTTCACCTGGCAACCCACTGAGAAAACATGGTATAAAGATACTCTTTATCATATTAATTAGAATTTCTCCTTTCTAAAAAACACAAGGAATTTCTTTGGTACTTATGAAACTGTTTAGTCTAGGCTCTTTACTGAACAAATATGAGCTTCAGTTCTTGCAAATCTTTCTTTTCCTAAGCCTGTTAAAAGCACTGACCTGTGAGAGAGGGCATTCTTTGGCTAATGTGCTCTGATTCATCTCTTTGAGCAGTTCCTTTAAGGCATTGCGAACTGTGGCATGGTTCCACTGCTCTGCTGGCAAGTCTTCCAACTTTGAACAACTGTTAAAACAGAAAGCAAAAGCAGATAGAGACATCACCTTCACAGATGCTTACTTTTCGCATACAAGCGCTATAGAACTTTAAGCAACAAACACAACCTTGGAATTTCCTGCTTGGCCAGCCCATCAAGGTGTTTCTCCCCTCTATCACCTTCCCATCAAGCATGGCTACCCAAAGATGTGCAGTTCACCATACAGCAGCTAATCTTCCTACGGTATTATATGTGTGTATAAGCATTCCCTCTGGGGCCTGACGGAGAGCAAAGAAGCTGCATAAAGCAAGCCCCAGAAATGGCTGGATAAAGCCATACTGTCCAGACAAAGGTACTCCTGCTGGAATAGAAAAATAAACATATACGCTGCGCTGCCACTAACAAAATCCCTAAACAGTAAGGGCCCTCATTGTATGGAAGTGAGACTTCGAAAAATTAGTTTAATTTCATACAGGTTCTTATACTGCCCTTATCACTGAAGTATCCAAGAGCCTTTCAGAAACACACAAACCATATGCCCAACATCTGTCACGTGTAGTTGATTCTCACTTTCATTCTACAAGAACTGCATATGTAGTGAAGCTTTTGTCTTCATGCGACTTGTGCCTCTTTTAATTTAACAAGCTTATGGTTTGTGTCTACATGCACAGGGACAGACCCGAGAATCACATCAAAAAGCTGGGAGAAGGTTGTCACTGCCATTTCTACCAAAGAGAATTAATGGATGTTCTCCAATCAACCTCTGAGGGGGTTCTGCCTTCTGTCCTTACAGCCTGGTTTGTCCCTCAGAGCTGGATGTTCAGTTGTGCTTGAGGAGTTCAAGTAGTCAGTGATCATCTTTATCTCAAAGTCATGGGCTATCTTTTACTTACATCACATCCAGGCATTCAGGCATTTTGAAGAAAAAGAATGAGACCCTAATCTTGGATTGATACCCTTTGCTAATACAAATGTGACAATAGGCTAGATGGACTCCTGGTAGCTCACACTTCTGACAAAATGCATTACTGCACTCCAGTTTCATAGCAGCTATAGAGTCTAGATGCTCTTTTACAACTATGTAGCAGAGATGCAGTCTAGCTGAAAAATGACAACGGTATATAAAACTGAGGAAAGACCTGTTCATGGGAATTGAAAACCTCAAGCACCATCACAGATATAACAGGAAAGAAATGTTCTTGTCTGGGAGTTTAATGTCAGTGAGGCACCAACTGCTTGCAAATTCTAAATTGAATCAAACAGTTGGAGGGTATGTACCTGCCACCAAAAGGACACACACGTGTCCCCGTGGACCCTTCTTCTGTTCAAGCCAGATCTTCAAAGAACTGTTGGCAATTTATTCCAGACTTATTTTTTACTCTTTCCTCTGGCATGTCCTGGCCATACAGCTCCAGCAGGCTGTACAATGTAGGCTTACCAGCATGACCAGAGTACACCATGCACTGCAAGGGACCTGTCACACCTCCTTACATCAGTAACTATTTGAGAACTCTTCTGAAGGCCAACAGAAAGAAAAGGGAAGAAGAAAGGGGGGGTAGGGGGAAAGCAGGAGGAAGGGAGGGCAAATAAGTGTAAAAGCGGAGTGAGTTTTTGCTTTGCTAATCAGCACTGGTATTCAGGGAAGGAAAATATTTGCCAAATGCCAAATGCAGCTGCAGTGACATTTTCCTTCCTTGTCTTCTTTTTGCTGGGAAGACCACTGGAGAAAAAAAGAAAAGTCAGAAAAGCTCCCCTCCTCCCCATCTCAGCAACTGGCAGTAGAAGACTTGGATTCTCACAATGTAGCCCCTAGAAAAAGGCAAGGAGTTTATTATTTGATACAATTAGACCTTAAGAATCCATTAAATTAGGGACTGTCAAAAGGTCTGCCTTTAAAAGCCCCATAAACTTGATTGAGTTTCTGCCCTTCCCCTCTCTGCTACCATATTGCTACTTCAGAACACATACAATATCAGTTGGAACATGCACCAAAAAGCTGCCAGGTGACCCACCCTTCTCTTCATTTTCTTTTCATTTCATCAAAAGACCTGAAATTAATGAAGACAGGATGTGCTAATCTCTGTAGTAATGCTGTAACCGACAGAGCAGCTCAGAGAATAGAGAAGGACAGATGTTCAGAAACACCCACCTTTGTAATTGGATTTTCAATGTCACAACATGATAGACATCTTGTAGCATGTCGGCTACTGTCGCATCTGGTGCATCAGTCACATAACTGAGAGGCAGGGGATTCCACCTCCCAAGCTTGATTATTCCTGAAAAGAAAACAAAAAATTCATACTTTATATTTTACCAGCCATTTACTAAACCCTTTGATAACATTGCTTGTTCCCAAGATTCAAGGTCTGCCTTGAGGTTTATTGTACTCTTGCCCAGAAAGATGCGTTCTGCTGAATCCTGAAACAAACAATGGAGAAGAGCAAGAATAGATTTTAAATTCTTAACAGACAGTGGCTGACACAGTCCTGGCTCTTAAATTACTTCAAGGAAGCACAGGAGACTTCCTCCCTTCACATCTTCCATCATCCCACTAGAGCCTAGTTCTCTAATTTAGAATAAGCTTTAAATACTCTCTAGCCCTGATTTTTCAGTCTAGAAAAACCTTTCAGTAAATAAATGCATTACTTTTGACTTGGACAGGAAAATTCCTGTGTGTGGGCTTTCAGCACACAGTTACAATCTAAGCATGGTACAATTCCCAGTGGATGGATGCCACTGCAAACCCACCAAGTAGGAAGAGTTCACTCCCAGATACAAGTTGCACTATGCAGACAGTTGCTTTTCTTTGCGAAAAAAAAAACACCCAAACCCAAATGACTGTGAGCTGCTGACCGCAGATCTAAAATAGAATTTTGGGGGCGAGGGAGAATGCTGTAAGTTCTATTTCTACTTCTGCTCATTCTTTAATAGGGATCATCACCTCTTTTGGATGAGCTTGTCACAAAGACTGTAAACTTGGATGGTAAACCATTTGGTGCAGAGGTATTATTTCTGTTTAGACAATTGCAGAGGGCCCACCCACACCAAAAACAATGACTAACACCCAGGAATGACTTCCAGGAAGACACCAAACAAAGAAAGCCACAGTGCCATTTTACATGACAGCAAAGCAGTTCAACCTTGTTCTGCACTATTGCCACTACTGTTTTTATTCCCTCCTTCATCGTGTTCCCATTGCCCTGCCGTTCTGCTCATTTAACTTTCCTCAGCTCAGCCCTACAAGACACATTCTCCCACTTAAACTGATGCCTTTTGAAGTTTCCTTATATACTGTTGGATTTTGGAAAAGACATCCATAAACTCAACTGCCAGAAAGACACTAACACACTAATACAGGAGAAAACTACTTCTGCAATAACAGGTTGCACCAAGAGCTCTTCTTGAGCATCTGAAAGGATGATGTGATGCCAAGAAACTTCAGCTTTCTCCTCCTCACTTTCTACTCCCAGTTCTTCACCATCTCTGGAACTATCAAACCGAAATAAATGACAACAGCTTTTTAACCTGATCTCCCAAACATGATCACAAAATAAATACTGCACTGAAACAATGAAACAAAGCTTCTTGCACAGAGACAATAACAGAACAAAATGAGCCCGTGAAGTACCTGCAGTGGAATATTTTTTCCCCATTCCTACGCAGATCGAAGAGGAAATAATTTTAGTACAACTCCTTTTCCATAGCACTTAAATCTTTGCATTTACCACTGATGTACTGCTTTGCAAGGCTTCTGTCAGCACATACTGAAAGAAGCTGGAAGTGACCTAGTTCATCCTCAGTGGTACAAAGTTTCACTGTAACATATTGGTACAGACAGGCTAATATTTCCAGAGCAGATTAGAAAGTTTTTGTCAAGGAGAGATATTGTCCAAATGAAACAAAAAGTTACTAAGTGTTGCTTGATATCCAATGCTTGAAAATGGGACATAAACAGAACAAAAACATTTAAATGATGCACTGTTTCAGTATTAAGATTTAACAATCTGGTGCTGAATATGCTGCAGTATAAATAGTGCCTGGACTCAGATCCAGTAGAGTAACACACAGCACTCATTCACAGCACCGTATGTCTCCATTGCTGGTTCCTTGAGTCATATTCCACTTGCCAAGAAAAGCTGTTTTTCTTAAGGGGATAGTTTACTTAATGTTATCTCTGGTGACAACAAGAAATGCATATAGTACAGCATATATTAGTCATGAAATGAGCATCAAGGGTCCACTGAGTGAAATACATGCTGGGAAAACACAGTTTAGCTGCTGACTTCCTTCACCCCCTTCTGCTATATAATAATTTAAAGCAAAATCACCTAAAAATCCAGAAATCTATACTGGCTTCACAGAACACTTGGCTTCCTATGTTTAACCACGCCAAGTTTTCATGTAATTGAAAAAATAAGCATCATATGTGCCCCATAAGTCACATCTAAATTGTTAATATTTTACAAGAGGCTTTATTTTTCATTCAATTAAGGAAAGCACTCAGAGAGCACACCATCTGCAACTGCTCAGGCCTGGCAACCCTGGCAAGGGACAAAGAGATGGTTGGGGGGGCACTGAAGCAACTAAAGGTGTCCCCAGACTAAAAAAGTTTAAAGAGAAAAACCCCAGCGCATCCAGAGCGCACCACGGGAAATACTATGCAAATTGCTTTACAGGAATGTCTGCTACTACTGGAAGGTAGGCAGTTTCGTTTTTTTTTTTTTTCTTAATCCTCCTCTACAACTGGAGAGGAAATTGTTTTGGCTGGATTTAAGCAAACACAGGTGTTACCATAATGCTCGGTGCCTCTGCACGTTAACACCTGCTGCGAGTCCTTTACTCTGTGTTACAGCGCTGCTGATGTCCGCTGTTTTTTCAGCCGGCGTGATGTGACGTGTGAAATATTTTTTCCAGAGCACATTAAGCTGGTCCAAACCATAGCCAGAAGCCATGGTTTCCATTCAGCTCCTCAGCAGACTTCACAGGTGCATATTTCATGGCACCAACACTGTACTTAAGGAAACTCTTGGGCTGTGATTGGGAAGATGATGCCAGCTTGTTGAGTAAATGTCTTCTCTGCATGCTAGAACACATCTCTGAATGAATCCTCAGCAAAAACTGAGTGGACCAAAATTTGCTCACTAAAAAGGTCTCTTCTCATCCAGGACTGAGTGTTTTCAGTATAACAGCAACTCCAGAATGAAAACAGCCTGGTAGAAAGAGGTTACTTTGACATACACATTTTTTATTGTTCCTCACATTGACTCCAAACAGTACAGCTCAGGACTTTAAAGAAACCACTTTAACTGGCCCGTTTGAGCTTTTGTCCTACCACAAGTGAGACTTGGGAGTGGGGACAGGAACAAGTAAAGGTCACTGTGTTATTAATGAATATACTACTGCTCTGGGAGTATCACTCTTCTGTCAGCTCCAGACCTTCTCAAAATTATGTGTGGATAATGCAGAGCAGATCAGACTGCTCGGGAAATCCAAAAACACATCTTCCCCGAGTTTCCAGAACTTGTCTGTTAATGAATTTCATTCTCTTTCCTGTATCAGTAGGGACTTTTTCCTGTGAGAGTTTTTTGAAGGGAAAGTTCAACAAATTTCAATGCTTGCACACACTCAAAAAATGGCCATACACTAGAACAGCTCCCAAGAACTCATCTAGAAGTGGCTCAATGCAGCCCAGGCCAGTTAGGCAAATAGAAACAATAAAGAGACCAGTTTTTTCAATAGATTTTTTTTCAAAACTACTTTAGAAGAAATTTTTTATTGACACTGGCTGTTGGTTCTTGAACAGCATGTACTTCTGTAGTTAGGTCTTTTATTAACTTAAGCCTCAGTTTCATTAAAATGGAGGCAGGGAAAAAGGGCAGAGTAACTTAGTTTGAAATTTGCATAACTCCCTTTACCCGCAAGAAGAGCAGTGGGCAAACTTCTACAAGTTCGAGTGTCAGGTTTGCATGTAACAACCACTGCAATTCACTGCTGTCATTCCACTTAGGCCAGTGATGTGGCACCCTGACAGGGTGCTTTTAATTTAGTTTCATTTAAAATGCAGCTCCTTTGGAGAAGAAAGTGATAACTATGCAAGTGAGAGCAGAACAACACATTGAACAGAAGCCTTGACCTGCTACAACATGGCTGATCTCTCTACTGAGCAGAACTCAGAGCTTTTTTACAGTATCACCTGAAAGAGTGATGCATCTAAAGCACTGGGATTATTCCTGGAACTTCATCCTAATGAGATGGGAACTGAATGGATGCAAGGCTGAGGCTAAAGAAGACTTCCAGATTAACTACTTTCATCAGGAGCATAAACATCGAAAGACAAAAAGCTGCTTTCTAGAAAAATACAGCTAAGCTGGCAATCCCTTTTCATTATTATGTAGCTTATACCGTCCCACAAAAATTATTTATCTGTCTGGGCTAGAAGCCTCATTTGTCTTTGCAAACAGAAAGATAGCCACACAGTACACTCATTCTAAGAATGCCACATCTGGAGTTTAGAACACATCATAGTCTAGCTATGACACTTGGTCATAAACACAATGAGGGCCAGGTCCTGCATCTCCCAGTCACCTGCACAGGTAACTTTTAATCTGATAGCCCCATAGTAATTACTGAGGCACCTCAGGTATCCTTCAATGCATCACTGCTGTAAAATCAAACTGTTAAAATGGGGCATTTTCCAAATTCCTTTTTGCGGCTACACAGAGCAAACAGGACGAGAACATGCCTCATCCTGTCACTGGCTCCCTTCAAACTATTCCCTGCTCCCACCATGATTATACTCCTGATTTTACCTTTCACAAGTTATGAGCCTACCTGAGTTACATCTTAAATGGATACTTGTAGTATTAATGCAAATGCATACACAGGATTAATGCAATTTATTTAAAATGCTAATCTGCCAGGGTTAAAATTAAGTCATGGGATCAAATGAAGGACATTTTGGAAGTTCCTATTAGCATCACCACGCCCTCCTCAACATGTTTTCTGAAGATAGAAAATGAATCATGAGTAATACATGCTCAAATACATACAGAGAGGGAAAGAGAAGGAATTTTGTGTTCTTTGGCTAAAGGGGAAAAAAGAAGGATAGCAGAGAATACTGATTCCTTACCAAATATTGTTAAGAAAAACACTTACTAAATTAACACTAAACAGACTATTTGAATCCCTGATGCACCACACCAAAAACTCCCATTTTCTACAGCCTAAGCCAATATAACCTGCTGAGACTCATATAGGGTGAGGTGCTCAAGCAGGT